AAACCAAAAAAATGAATAAAAAATCATATCTTTAAAATAACAATAAAAGAAAATCAAATAAAAACCAACAAAAAAAAAGAAAATTTTAGTTTGGGGGGGAGTAGAAATCGGGATAGAGGGGGCGAGAGAGAGAGTTTAATTTTAATTTTTTAGTTTTTTAATCAATTTTGATACAAAAATACAATTTTGCCCCTACATTTAACAGAAAAGTTAACAAAATTAACGGCAAAACCATTTGTCCTAACAAAAGTGAAGTTAAAGGACCACGGGAATCATTTTGGAAATTGAGGTACTCAAATGCAAATCGGATCTAAGTTCAGAGACTAATAAAATGATTAACCCTCAACAAATAAAGACCCAAGTCTAAGTTATAGCTCCAATTTGCCAAACAATCAGCAACAGCAACACTGCTTTTCTCTCTGTAAACATGATAAACACTGCAGCAATTGATCTTATGCATCAAACCCCAGCAACTAGCAACTAAGGCTGCAAGAGGATGAACATCAGTAAGGCCCTGCTTCTGGATCAATTGGACAGCAAGTGCTGAATCCATTTCAACAAGAAGGTTATTAATCTCTTTGTCCACAGCAAGCTTCAACCCAAAAAATAATCCCCATATTTCTGCCTCAAGAATTTGCCCTTTCCCCATGTTCACAGCAAAACCACTGACCCAATCTCCAGAGGAACTTCTAATAATAACTCCAGCACCAATATGTCCAGAGCCACTCCTCCTTGACCCATCAACATTTAACTTGAACTGGCCAGCAATAGGAGGTTCCCACTTTAGCTCAATATGGACTTTATGATTATGCTTACTCAAGATATGAGAAGCCTCAAACCACTAATGGACAGCACGAACAATAAGCTGTTTAGGATCAAAAGGCACATCTTCATCCCTTTGAAAAACTTGGTGATTTCTCCATTTCCACACATACCAACAAGTAAAGATAAACACCAGACTCTAGGGAATATTACTACACCAAACTGCTTGAGAGAGAAGATTAGTCTGGAACCAAGGCAGAAAATCATTTGAAAGAAATGGCCATGATGGCTAGGCATTAAAATAGAATTCCATATACCTCTAGCCTTATAGGAATCATGAAGAATATGTAATGTAGTTTCAATAGGCCACTCACAAACACCACAAGAAGAATCAAAAGTCAATTGTCTGCAATTTAGGAGGTATCTTTAGTTTCCACAAAGATCTGAAACTATAATCAAGCCATGAGGGACCATTAAAGAATATATTGTAAGCAAGTTTTACATAAAAAAAACTCCATTAGCAATTCCTTTCCAAATCTGGCAATCCTGCAAATTACTAGCAAAACCCACGGGATAGTTAACAATATGTTGAACAAGATCTTCAGTTAAAGCTCTTCGTAATTTATCCAAATCCCACCACTCATCTTTGAAAAAACTGGAAACAGAGCAGTCTATATCCTCAATATGCAAGACCCCATCATGCTTCAACAAAGGCTCATCAATAAGCCAACTGTCTTTCCAAAATTTAGTAGTATCCCCCTTACTAACCCTCCAACCTATTCCTTGCCTTAACAACTCCACCCCATACATAACACCCTTCCAAGTGGTAGAACAATCCTGTCGAAACATCAAAGAAGAATCTAAGATAGATTTCCCCTTAAGATATTTAGACTCATAAATCTTAGCCCATAAGCCCTTGTCCTTTTTATGTAATCTCCACCCAACTTTAGCCAAAAGTGCCTGATTCATGGCAGTAGTTTTTTTAAAACCTAAACCCCCCTTGTTCTTGGGACACAAGCTAAATCCCACTGACAGAGGTGGATCTTATGCTTTTTCTCACTGCCACCCCAAAAGAAATTACGATTTAATTTGTCCAACTCTTGCCCAACAATAATAGGCAACTTGGAGGTTTGCATAGCATAAATAGGAACAACAGAAGTGACAGCTTGTATAAGAGTTGCTCTACCAACCAAAGAAAGAACCTTTCACTTCCAAGAAGCAAGCCGCTTATGCATTTTATCAATTCAACTGCCATAAGTTAATTTAGTAATTCTAGAATGCAACATAGGCATGCCCAGATACTTACCAAGGTCCTTAGTAAGAGGAGAGCCACAAATCAGACTTACCTCCTTAGCTGTCTCCTTACTTGTATTTGGTGAGTAGAAAACAACAGATTTATCATAGTTCACTGTTTGCCCAGAAGCACTGCAGAATCTCTCCAGACAACTCTTTAGCACCCTAGCTTGAGTAGAATTAGCTTTAGGAAAAAGAACCAGGTCATCTGCAAAAAATAAATGAGACACAGCTAGGCCAGATTGTGAAGACTTAACTGGTTTCCAAACTCCCTTTTTAACAAAATCACAAATAAGATGAGATAGTTTCTCAATACACATCACAAAGAGATAAGGAGATAGAGGGTCTGCTTGTCTAATGCCCTTCTTAGGAAGAAACTGATCAGTAAGCTCACCATTCATGCAAATTTGATACCTCATAGTAGAAACACAACTCAAAATCAGTTTAGTGATAGGATAAGGTAATCCCAACTCCACTAACACATACACAATAAACTTCCAATTTAATCTCTCCTTTTCTACTTTTATATATATTCTCTACGTTATATTATTATTTTGGCAATGGTTCTGTGACTTGGATACCCATATCTGTCGATGAACATGCTCATAGCGGATCTTGAGTTTGTGTACAAGGGGTCGTATATTGGAGTCTTGTAAACCGTCAGTACTTGCACGTAGGGAGGCTACAAAGGCTTTAGGACAACGTCTTTGACGTGCTTCACCATATCAAACTCACCTTCTTACTTATTATTTATTTTCCTTTTACTTACCTATTATTTTGTTTTCTTCAATTTCATTATACCTTAAAAGCTTTCCTGTTTATTTATATGCTATTTATAATATAATATTTTTTGTGTTTGGCTTTACGGAAAAGGAAAACTATATTTTGTATATTTTTTATAACATTTTCCAAGCCATAAAGCCTTTCTTTCCCTTAGACAGCTTAAATTTATGCATCAACTCCTGAGCAATAAGTATGTTGTCTGTGATTTGCCTACCAGGCACAAAACTTACTTGGTTAGGGCTGATGATATGAGGCAAAATATGTCTTAATCCAGCAACCAAAACTTTGGAGATAACTTTATAAAGGGTAGAGCAAAGGCTTATGGGTCGAAAATGCAACATAGTCTGTGGGTTGTCAACTTTAGGGACCAAAGTGATTAGAGTATAGTTAAGAATCTCTAGGATTCGACACTCCTTAAAAGCATTCACCACCATTTGAAAAATATCACCAGCACATTGATTCCACTGACTCTGATAAAAGCAAGCAGGGAACCCATCTACACCAGGAGCTTTAAGCCCACCAATATTAAAAAGACTAGTCTTAACCTCAACCAGATTAATTGGTTGAACCAAACCATCCAGATTAGCCACATCAATAGGGGAAAAAAGTTAGGGAGATCAATCACATAATCAACAAGAGAAGTAGTAGAAAAGAGAGTGGAAAAATGATCCACAACCAAGCATTTTAAACCGTTAGCCTCCTCGATCCAAATACCATTAGCAATTTTCAACCTTTCAATCTTATTTCTTCTCCTTCTTATGATAGTAGTAGTGTGGAAAATTTTGGTGTTCCTATCACCATCTTGTAACCAAGTAATTCTTGATTTTTGTTGCCAAAAACACAGCTTCTTGCTGAAGAACATTATTAAAATCATCAATCAAAGAGGTTTCCAAATTACTAAGGAACCTATTAGGCCCTTTGCATAAAACTTTCTGGATACCAGCAATTCGAGCCAACAACCAACTTTTTCTCTGGCGCAGATGTCCAAAAACATTAATATTCCAATGTTTAAGAGGCTCAATTAAGGCAAAAGTCTTCTCCACAGCAGTACCATCACCAGGACCCCAAGATTCAGAAATAAAATCATTAAACTTCTTAGGTTGTAGCCACATCGCTTCAAATCTAAAGGGCCTTAAGGCAGGGGAAGTTGAAAAACATGAAGTAAGACAGATCTTAATAGGATTATGATTTGACTTGGTTCTAGGCAAATGTCTCACAGTGGCCTCAGCAAGCAACCCCCTCCACTCCAAATTACATATAGCTCGATCAAGCCTTTCAAAGACTTTCTTATTATTCCAAGTAAATTTGGGGCCTGAGAAACCCAAATCAACCATAGTATTGCAATCAAACCAACTTCTAAAACATTTCAATCTACACACAGGAGCTCCTTCTAACTTATCATTCACATTCAACATTTCATTAAAATCACCAGCAATTAACCAAGGCAAATGTTGACAATCAGTAATAAAACTTAGATACTCTCATAGCTTAGCTCTTTTAATACCACAAGGGCTAGCATACACAGCTGTAAACAACCAAGGAGACTGGCCAGGCCAAGCCACAGAAGCAGAAATAGATTGATTTGAAGTCCCCAAAATATCAACATGGACTTTAGTGGCATCCCATAGCAACCACAAACGACCAGAAAATCCAGTAGCATCCACAATTTCAAAATTAGAGAAACCTAGGGATTGAGCAATAGAAGCAGCTTTACCACCACTTATACGAGGCTCACAAATGAACAAAATGTCCATATGATGAGTATGGATCAAATCCATCATATTAGTCTTGAACTTTGTGCAAGCAGCACCTCGAACATTCCAGCAGACAATATTCATAAAAACAAGTAGAAAGATAAGAGGACCCCAAGGGCTAAACCCTTTTTTAAACACCAACAGTCATACCTCCACCATTGTTGAAGGTATTGCCTGCCAAGTTCCCACCACATAAATTAGCTTGACCTTCCACAAGATCCATTTTATCAACTTGACACAAGTTGTCAGAAACATTAGAGTTCAATGTATCCTCATCACCCTCTTAATCAGAGCTCCCCACACTACTAGCATCTTTCTCACTTATATTAGGCAGTTGATGACCAAAGATGTATACACCTTTCTCATGGTGACTCTTTTGATTAGTGACCCAACCAGTGATTTGATCATTTACAAGGCTAGAAATATCAAACTTATTTCCCTGAACAACCAGCTTTCCAATACGAGGTACAGTTCCAGCAAACACTTTTGAAGGACCACCACCTTCCTGACACTCTCATCACCAGGGACTTTCCCCTCAAAAGGCTTATTGGAAATATCATTCAAAGCACTTCTAAAAACGGGCTTAGCATTCTTGGTTTTCGTCCATACTTTCTTGCCATGCTCCATATCAGGAAGAAAGGAACTATTAAAATTGGACTTGTCCTGCTCAACAAACACATCACTAACCGCCTCATCTGTTCCAAAATTGTCACTAATGTTCCTGAGCGCATCAAAACATGAGCCCTTAACCTTTGCACCAGAACCCTTACCACCAAAAACTTCAAAATCAAGTTTATGTCGCCTACGAGATTGAACATTCATCCATGGACCTCTTGAACATTCATCATCACCAACTGTACTCTCTGTGTTCACATCAGCAGGCACCTTAACTCACAACTCACAATTTTCTCGTTTATGCCCATATCTTCAATAATGATAACAAATATCAGGCAGACCTTCATACTCAATGTTGTTCCAATTTTGATTGATTTGTACAAAAGCCTCCAAAGGTTTAGTTAAATCTAACTCAACACACAACCTAGCAAACTTACCACAATTCTGTGCAGTGGTCAACGAATCAATTTTTAACAATTTGCCCAGCAAGTTACCAATCTGCTTCAAAGACCAAACGTCAAAACATTCAAGTTAAATAGCCGAAACCCTGAGCCAGGCTGCCATACGGGTAATATGAGTAGTGGCTGGGCAAAAACCCGGACGCCATTTCTGCATTACCAAGTATTGTCCCGCTATAATCCAAGGACCACCAGTTAGAACAAAGTTTAGATCCTCTTTAAGATCAAATTTCACCACATAGTAATCATTAACCAAATCTACCAACTTCCATGCCCCTTTCAAACTCCATTTCTGTTGTAATCTGACAATCAGAGCGTTTCTCCAAGGCTTACATAAACGATCCATAGCCCGATCAGAGAATTGAATACTTGGCCCACGTTCTCCATGAGAAATTTGAACATCTTCATCATCATTTAAATCATCATAATCAGCATCAAGAGAACTGATATCAATTCCCACGTTTTTCTCCAAATTGACCTTATTCATCAATTTGTCACGAAATCTTTCAACTCCAAAAGTTGAATTCGGCACAGGACCTTGTTCAGATTCAGACATCGCATGCTCCATCAGAGAAGGATTGGGCTGAACCTCCATATCGCACTCAGGAGCACAATCATCTCCAACTCGAACTCGCTTCGTTAAACGGTAGGTTTTAAGGAAAACCTGATCGGTTCATAATTGTATATTATTTCTTACCCTTCTAGCTTATGATTTGGTTATGTTTTTGAGTTAAACTTGTGCTTTTAATCCTTTTTGTATTTATCTTTCAGTTAATTGAGCTTTAGGTAACAATGATGGCTTTGGAAACCCCTGGCAATCCTTCCTCCATACTCAAAGAAGGTGCACCCCAAGTAGAAACAGCAACAATTGATTAAGAACAAGACCTGGAAACCACCGTGGAAGGTAGCCTCCAGTACGACGGAATTGAAAATGAAATCGCAGATTTGAAAAACTCAGAAAACTTGACTGCGCGTACCAAAACTGACCCAAATTATTTCCTATTATTTGTCTAACTCCAATATGGATTTGATTTCACCCTCAGACTGCCATTTTATATCAATCAACCGTTAAAGGATGAGTTACGGAATGAAGGGAGAAATCAAAACAAATTAAACAAATGTTAGACGATTTGGTTCAAGCAGTTTAGTGGTTTAAGCCTGAACTCATTACTCATTTATTTTTAGTGATTTTAGCCTAATTGCAATACAAAGTTTTTTTTTTTTTTTTACTGTTTGATTTTTCAAAAGTTGATTTTAAACATTTTAAAATCTAATAGTAATGTGAAATGAAATTGGGTAACAAATTCTAAAATTATGCGAGTACACCCTCCTACTACCACAATATTTATTGAAATATTAATTTACCCTAATATAAAATGACCAAAAAGGATATATTGAATTGTGAAACACACGTAATTTTAATAAGTATATCCTATTCATCGTATTGAATTGTTGATTGATCAACTTGTTTCTTAATCTAATAAATTCCTCTTATTCACAAGCCTTCAATATCATCAAATCTATTTCCTGGAATTAGACATCCCAATAAAAAAATTTAAGCATCATTTTTCCCAACTTGGTTTTCCAAATGATTAAATTAGTTTTGGTGATAGTGAATCTCCCAATATATATCATAGTCACATGAATTATAAAGAAAGAATCATATGTGTCCGCTACAACCCGAATTTGGAATAAAACACAAGAAGTTGACAGACCAAACTCATCTCCAAATCGTGCCCGTCTCCATGACTAGTTACATCAAATGTGCACATAACCTATCTGAATCTGCAACAACAATTTCAGTAGTGAAAATTTTGTTACACAACCTCAATCTAACCTAATTCATAACCCAAATACTACCAATGCCAAGACTACAAGGTAAAGTTGAGTCTAATATTTGACAAAACTTGGAAAGAAACACAAATCAATTACATACCTTGAAGTTTTGATCAGCAGCTTTAGTGGGTTAAGCAGCAAGTTCGGCAACAAGGTGGGTTTGGTGGTCTAATAGTGTTCGGCAGCCAGCTCTTGAATGGTTTTGGTGTTGTTGATAGAGTGTATTAGGGTGTACTATGGGTATTTTTGGTAGTTAAATAGGGTGTACTTAGTTCATTTTACATTTTGATTAAATTATTATGGTGTACTTAGATCATAGGGTGCACTCAGTTAATTTAATGGTTCATTTAACATCACCCATGAAATAAATCAAATACCTTGTCAAGTTATGACCTTGAAGAAAAGTGGGATATGGGTGAGTGGCTATTGTATCTCAGCTATATATCCAACATCAAGTTGAAAAAGTGTTTATGATAACTCAGAACATGGATTGTGCACTTCAATACTAGGTTCAAACAAACCTACTCGTTGATGATAAACGAATGATGACACCATAATTGATTAAGATACTAATGGATTTATTAGAGGCACTGATGCATTTGAGATCAACCTACAACTTTGTTTATCAAGAAGTAGGCTTGGATTCCATCTTATTAGTCAACAGTGAAGTCAAATTAGCAATCTCAAGTTGCTTTTGGGAGAATAAGATATGGGACGGTGATTTGGATATCTATGCATCTTTAATCCAAAATCTTGAATATCATTTTCCTAATAAGCAAAAACCGTTTGATCAAATTCATTTGTGTAAAATTTTAAACTTGAATGTTGAGTTACTCAAACGATTATTATACCATTTTGTATTATTGACCTGGACGCAACAAAACGATTTGGGACAATGGGCTTATTCCAAATTTGTGGAGGAGCCCTCAAACTCAACACTAAGATAATAGAATTGATTTCATTGATTTTATTGTGCGTTTGGATGAGGGAAATAAACTTGGGATTTTGACAAAAGTCAGAATTTCTAAATTGACATGAACCAATTCCCGTGTTTGGATAAAAAAAAACATAGAAATTTAGAAATTCCGCGTGGAAAAAAACATGGAATTTGGATATCATAAATCCCAACTTTAAATTCTATCTAAAAGTCATCATTTCTAAAATCCCAAGAGAGATTGAGTTTTTAAAAAATATAGCTTTACCAATAAAGGTTAAATTTTGTGTTTTAAATCCGTCATCCAAACAAGAAACTTTACAAATTCTATAACATTAATTTCCGTCATTTATGAAATCCCTTGTACTTTGAAATTTCCTCATCCAAACGCATAGTTAAGTTTTGGAATTTTGATTTAAACACCCAAACCCTTGAGATCATGCACTCAGCCTATTTGGACCATTTATAAATTTTCAGATGTAACACATATCTAGGGTTTATGTAAGAATTAAAAGTTTGGAGGTTCTCCTCATTCAAACGTATAGCATTACACATTTAAAGTACTAAAATATGAGAGAATAATGGTTGTGGGAATTTTCTGTGTCTTATTCTCCTTATATAGGAGACCATATTTATAGTACAATAGAGCATTGGAGGCCAAGTATAGTAGGAAATCAGAAATAAAGGGAAATTAATATATGAATCCTTGGCGTGCAAGGGAAGTAAACTGCTAGCCACAAGTCACGCCAACACTCCCCCTCAAGTTGGTGCATAGATGTCGTTGATGCCCAACTTGTCTAGTGAGTTGTGGAACGCCTTACCAGAAATGGCCTTCATTAATATGTCTACCAACTATTCTTCTAACTTAAAAAAAGGAAACTAAATTTCTTTGTCTCGAGCTTCTGCTTGATAAAATGTCAATCTACTTTAACATGTTTAGTGTGATCATGCTGAATTGGATTATATGCAATGGATATTGCGGCCTTGTTGTCACAAAACAAATTCATCCCAAATATAGGTGCATATCAAAGCTCAGTAGTTGAACCATTGAAGAGACTTCAAATTACATAGCACACCTCATAAAACCCAAGATACTTTTATAAGTGATTTTTACAGTAACTTATATCCAATACAACAAATCCAACCAAATGTTCAATTGATGAAGGTACTCATTACCACAATTTTGAACAAATTTGTCATATCTTTCACAAATTCTAAAATATTTTTAACTTTTGAGTGACAAGAAAAACTGAAAAATTAAAGAGAATTCATTTCCACCTCACTTGGGAAGTTGTTAATCAGAGTTGCTTAATTTGCTCCCCCCCCTCCCCCTTCTCCTTTGGCGAACCACGAACTGGTTAGGCTGTTCTGAATCGAGGTGCATTCGCGACTAAGATTGTAATCAAACCATAGACAGGAAAAGAAGATTGTGTACCTCTATTTGGCAGTGCATCCATGGTTGACGATTTGTCCTAGTGAGATGATAGCCAAGAGTTTTAGTTTGAGATGAACTCTGACTCAAAAAAATATGCCTTCTTGACTTTAAAAAAAAAAAAAGAAGACTTACAGGAAATTTGGAAGGGTGGCATTTGGGATGTTGTGCCGGTTTAGAGTTTCAAGGAAAAGTGAATGTGTGGTGGAGAATCGATGCTATGCAAATTAAATAAACCAAGTAAATACAAAAATTAAAATTATGACATTGTTATAAATGCATGAGTTGGTGGATGACCACCATACCTCTTAGTATTGCACCGTTGGATTTTATGTAACCTATGCAGTATGTATTTGTAATTAGTGCTTATAACCTATAGGTATATTGTAAATGATGGTATTCAATCTCCTATCTTATAAGCCTATAAATAGGTGGTTCTACCAAAGATTAAGTATAATAAACATGGTGAAACTTTATCCTTAGCATATCATTTCTCTCTATATTTTCTCCATCTAGTTTTATAACTCGTTATCAGCACAACTGCTCAATATTTTCTCCTTTCTTACACCACAATGATATGTACAACTTTGACGATGCAGTTGCACATCTATAAAATACCAGTGTACGATGTGGGTATCATATATACATATTTTTATTATTGTTTCATGATATGTTTCACGCTTTAGTTTACTATGTTAAATTTTGTTTGGCTAACCCTTGTGCATATCATATAATTAGCATAGATTATATTGAAGTTTTTTTTTTTCATTTTAATTTCTTTTATTGCAAATATAAGAAACTCAATGATGGCATTCACTTTATGAATCATGTACCTGACATGATATAGTCGAGAGTTATTATTATTATTTTTTTAATATGTACGCACGTTTCCAACAATGCTTGTTTCATCTTTTTTCTTTTTCTTTTTGTCCTTTCATGCTAATGGAAATTTTGTGGCAATTACAATATAAATAAAAAAGATATGATGGCCTATTAATTTACTTGTATGCGTGTATGATTAATCAACAACATCGATTGCATGTTATTATTTGTAGTTAACATGTATAAATTATAAATAAATATTTTAATTTATTTTTATCCTTTATGCATATTTTATTTAATTGGTTTGTTTACCAATTTTAAACATGTTTTTAATTCATTACAATATGTTACGATGAGTTTGTATTATACAAAAGATTAGGGCCCAAAGTTCCTCGATCCTCATCATATAACTAGATGAGGACCTCGAGTCCTTTTGATTGAATCGGAACCTGAAGTTCTTTGATTCCAAATAATTGAGGGCATGAAGTTCAACGAATTTAAAGAGCACATAAGGACATGAAACTCCTAGATTTTGTATTAATCAAAATCAGAATTCTATGAAGCCTACATA